TTAGGTATTAGGTCCTATTATATTATTACATTATTATTATATAAAATATAAATCCTTGTCGTTGCGTCGACGGAAAATAAAATAGCATGAACACTGAAGACTGAACAATAAAATCATTTATGAATTATTATGCGGGTCGGGACTATTGTAATACCTACCTACAGCTAAAATGTATAATAATATATTACTATAGGTAGGTATTAATAAGAAGTTACAATATTATTTTAATGGTAATTACTAATTATTTATAACAACAATAAAATATGATAAGACAGTTGACATACGTTGGCCAGCAATTTAATTTTAAAGAAAATCTCAAAATAGATTACTAAAATTACGTCATTTGATTATATCGAAAACCCCAAATGTCTGAAAAGTTAAATAATCGTTTAGTCGACAGCCGGTGCCCGGTATCAGTGTTTCATTTTCATATTGTGAATTTGTGAATTTGTGAATAATGTGAAGACTTGAAGTGAATTGTGATTTGCATTTGTTATACAGTACTAAAGTAGGTATAACCGTATAATACACGTAATTCATTACTGTTGTGATTGTCTATACTCTATAAGTCTTCATTAAAAAGTTATGGACAAATTTTTAAAACCACGGTCAGTCACAAAAGCTGGAAAAGACGTAGATGATGATGATCCACAAGAAGAAATGAGTAATACTTCTTCAGACTTGCATAAAAGTATAAATATTTTTTTTTAAATTTAAACAACACAAATATAATTAAAATTTTTTATAGAATCTAATATATATAATGATCAAGCCACTGTTTCAAGCCCTAATGTTGATGATCCTGTATTGGTTAATGACACAACAGTGGCGGCTATCCTATAGTTGAGGTGTAGCGGTTGCTACACCTTTAATTAGAGGTAGGTGGGGTGGGTTGTCTACGTAATTTTTCGTATGCGAATAATACAGAATAATTTGGAATATTTTAATAGGATAATAGTAACCATGTTAATATAGAATTCTAGATTGTAGATGACAGATGTTATTAATTTATTATTAATGCGATTAAAAAGTAAAAACAACCGTTGTTTTTATGGTATTTGCATGACTATAGATACCAGCGTTTTTAGCTATCTGCCTATCTAAGTTTATAGTGATAACTGATAAGGTTAATGATTTTTCCATGATTCTAAAAATAGTAACGTATGTGAATATGTGATGCGTATAGCGTATTTAGTTTTGATAAGTCAATAATCTTCAAATGTTTTTTATATATAGTATTTTGTCTTAGTAATTTAGTATATACGTGATACCTTATAACAGTGAAGTTATTAATTTTTTTGAAATTATTTATGATTTATCTGTGTTCTGTGAAATGTAAATTGTGAATAATTTAAATTCGAAAATCATTATTCATTATGTCAACTACCGAATCTAATTGTGTGTGTGGCAAGAAAAGAATAGGATTAAACTTGACAAATTGGAATCGTAATTTGTCTTTTTGTAAAGTGGCTAAATTAAAAAATAATAAAATTTGTTCCGATTTGACAAGTTTTTTTCAGCCAAAACATGGAATTGCGTCACAGGGTTCAAGTACCATAAAAAAATGTATTATTTTATTTTTTGTGTGTGATACATTTTATATATCCTTATTTATTTCCAGTCAAAGCAGATATCATTGGCCAGATGAGTAATTTGCCTGAGGAATCAGATTCTGTTGAAATAGTTGAAGAATGTAAATATTTATAACATAGTGATAGTACTGATAAACAACTTAAACCTACACTAAAATAAAATTGATAGTTATGTATGATTTTTAAAATACAGAATTAATTAATTTTAAATATTTCAGCACTTGACACCAATATTATATGTGGCATAAGTAGATCAAGTACATCTCACAAACAAGAACTATCATTATTACTAAAAGGTTGGTACCTACTTGTTTTAATATTTTAATTTTTCAAGTTTTTAATTATGTTATTGGTTATCACATTTTAGTTTTTTATTTTACTATAGAGAATATGGATTCTGGGAGTGAAATCATAAGAAAAAAATATGAAGAAGATCATATCAGCGAAAATATCTTTGAAATAGGTAGGTAACTATTTTACTCAACATATTACTATCTTCATACATATTTAATTAAAATCATTTCATGGTACTAATATTCCATAATATGGTATTATTGCCTATTGGTATTTGTATTTCTAGTAAATGGAAAAACATAGGTACATATTTATTTAAATCTTATACAAGAAAATTTTAATAATATTAAATAATTTATTAGAAGTACTAGCATAAGATGATAAAACAAAAGTTAATTAATATTATACCACAGAATAGATTAAATTAGATTTAAACTATTCTGTGATTATACATCATTATAATCTTCATAATTATATGAATCAGGAAATTTTAGATATTGATTTTATTAACTGTAGTTTATTACAATTTATTTCCCTGTCCACCACACGAGTTTTTCTCAGTAAGGCCCAGTAATCTTTTGATATTAATTTAAATAAAGAAATAAAATAAAATTTAGTAGGTACTATATCTTATTAATGTTTAATAAATGGCACATACTTCAAATTTTTCAATTTTTTGTGAAGTTTTTTAATTTTTATCAGTGGTATAATCTTAGATGTTTATTTTATTTTAGACAAATTAGATTCTGAAACTGAAATTACTGGTCAAAATGATGAAGATTATGTCTGCAAAAATAGTATGGATATAGGTAACTATTTTACTTTGCATATTGTTCTTCTATCTTTATGTAGGTATTAATATGTTGTGGTAGATGTTAGCTGTTTGCATTTCTAATCAATTAAGAAAAAACACATGTTTAAAAAAATCTTATACAAAAAACTTTAATGGCATTAAATAATTTAATAGAAGTACTGACATAAGATATTATAAGAAAAGTTAATTAATATTATACATCATTATAATCTTCATAATTATATGAATCTGGAAATTATAGATACTGATTTTATTAACTGTAATTTATCACAATTTATTTAGTAGATATATTATAATAGGTAATTTTATAACTTACATAAACATAATTGACAATTGTAAAGTTAATTAAGCTTTGTTCTATAATTTATTCAATTGATAAGTTTATATAGATATTATTTATTAAACAATATATAATATGTGAGTGCTTACTTTAAATATTAAATTTTATATATTTCATAATAATAGTTAATGATTTAATTTATCATTATTTTTGTAAAATGATCAATAATATATTTTTAAATGTAGATTTTATCAATTATACCTATGAATCATATTTTATACTTTCTTGCTTACAATAAGATTCAACCGACAAAATGTCCTTAAAAAGTATTATGTTATGTTTGTTACATTAAAAATACATAGTATTTATTTATTTTCAGTTAAAATAAATACCATTGATCAGATGAGTAGTTTGCCTGAGAAATCAGATTCTGTTGAAATAGTTGACAAATGTAAATACTTATTTATAGCATAATTAATTATACCTACCTACTATAATACAAGAATAACATTGATTTGTAGGATTGCTTTGTACAAAAATAATTAATTTATAATATTTCAGCGCACAATTATAATATTGAAAGTGATATAAGTAGACCAAGTACATCTTACAAACATGAACTATCACTATTAATAAATGGTACTTGCTTTTCATTTTTTTATGAAGTTTTTAATCTTTGTACCAGTGGTATAATCTTAGTTGTTTATTTTATTGTAGACAAGTTAGATTCTGAAACTGAAATTACTGGTCAAAATGATGAAGATCATGTCAGAGAAAATAGGATAGATATAGGTAACTATTTTACTTTGAATGTTGTTATCTTCATGTAGGAATTAAAAATATTTTATGGTACCTATTGGCTGTTGCCTGTTTGTATTTCTAACCAATCTGAAAAGATACATATTTATTAAAGTATGTAGTGTTTGTACTAAAGTATTGTACAAGAAAATTCTAATTTTACTTTAAAGATAACATTACACAGGTTAAGTCTATCACAATACTTTTTATATTCATGTTTAGATGGTACATTTAATGAAGATGAACATTTATCAAATGACCCTGCAACTTTCTGTATGTTGGAAAATCTTCCATCTGAATTTGTTGATTTTCTCTTGAAAAAAGGAGTGTTGCAACCTAATGAGGAAGATTTACCACATGATCATTTTAAAAAAGATAAAAATGGCCGTAGCTCCCACACTGCGTGGTATTGGAAAGAAATTCCAGGAAAAAAAATATTAAAAGGGATTGGTTAAGTTATTCAATTTTAAATGATAAATTATTTTGTTTGCATTGTATACTTTTTGGCAAAAACTCACAGAAAGCATGGACAAAATATGGTTTTTCGACATGGTCGAGAGCAGTATTGAGTATTCAACTTCACGAATCTTCAGAAGCTCACATTAATGCAACATTAAAATATAAACTCAGAAAGACTTCTCTACCAGTACTGCCATTACTTCAAGAAAAAGTCAACCAAGAAAAATCAGAAAACCGGGAAGTATTAAGATGTTTAATAAACATAACACTTGTTCTTGCAAAAAATTGCCTAGCTTTTCGAGGCCACCGGAAAAATTTAAAAAAAATAGAAAAAAATCATGGAAATTTTGTCAATTTTGCTAAAGTGTTAAGTAAATACTCACCTTGTTTGGCATCTTCTATTTCTAAACTTGAAACTTCTAAAAAACCTGAGGTGAATTTTTTGTCAAAACTGAGACAAAATCAATTAATTTCATGCTGTGCATCTCAAGTTAAAGAAATCATTAAATTAGAAATTAAAGAGTCCAGATTTTTCAGCATTTCCATGGATTCAACTTTTGACTTGTCAAGAAAGGAATAAATATCATTTATCGTAAGGTATATTAACAATAATGGAAATATATGTGAACGGCTTTTGGCACTTAAAGAATCAGCAATTACTACTAGTGTTCAGATTTTTGACGTATTCCAAAATATTTGTAATGAATTGTCCCTCGATTGGGTAAATTTTATGGTTGGCCAATCATACGATGGCGCTCAGAATATGAGAGGACAGAACAGTGGACTTCAAGCTCTAATTAAAGAAAAATGTCCATCAGCCACTTATATTTGGTGCACTGCTCATAGACTAAATTTAGTAGTAGTTAAAGCAGTAAATAGTAGTTTGGACGCTGTAGATTTATTCGGAAATATGGAGACATTGTATAATTTTATTTGTGGTAGTAAGAAACGAGTTGCTTACTATGAAAAAGTACAAAATGAATATTCGACAGGACAAAGAGGACGTCGATTGAAAAGAGTTTCCACAACTAGATGGACTTCTCAAGATCAAGCTCTTCAAGCTATTTTAGAAACGTTTGGCTCTGTGATTGATACACTGGAATATTCAAGAAATACTGAAGGCCGCGAGGATCAATGTGTTGGTCTTATGGCTGGATGCCTATTAAATTATCTTTTGTCTAAACGATTTATAATGACTGCAATGTGGTTCCAAAAGATATTCAATGTATTGTCACCTCTAAGTACCTTATTACAAACTAGAGATTTAGATATTTTAGCAGGAGTTAATTCTATAAATGATGCTAAAAATTTAATACAAGAACTCAGAAAAAATGATTCTATTATGGAATACTTAATCAAGGAAGTCAATATTTTCATAAAAGAAAATGATGGTTTTGAATTTTTTGAATTTAAAACCACCCGCATAAGAAGAAAGAAAAAAATGTCGAATGAAGAAAATGTTGATGAATGTATCAAAGACCCCATTGAGAAATTTAAAGTAGAAACTGTCTTAGGTTCCTTAGATATAATACTTAGTAATCTTAATCAGTATTTTAATGATACCACAATTGGAGTTATGAAAGATTTGGCACTTTTCAGTAAGAAGCGAATTATTGAAATTAAAAAAAACCATAAGTCTTTACCCGATGATTCATTTGCAGTGTTTTGCAAAGTTTACGGAACGTTTGTTGATCAAGAAACATTAAAAGCAGAGTTCCTTAAATTTTGTAATGTGTATGAATTGTTTGAGAAAACAACTATTCTACCTGAACATTTTCACGTTTCTGACAAAAGTGATACAGAAAGCATTAGTTCATTTGAAGAGGAGACTGATCAAGAACAGGAATTTGAGTTACCTAAGCGCAAGCAAATAAATCCAATAAATATCGGTAGCTTGAAAACTATTTTCAAAGTGTTCCAAAATGGTGGTTTGGGAAATACATTTCCATCACTAGATGCTGCCCTGAGGATATCTCTGACAATTCCATTATCTAGTGCTTCTACAGAAAGGTCATTTTCCAAATTGAAAATCATAAAATCTAGACTTCGCACGACTATGTCTCAAGCTAGATTGGAAGACCTTATGGTCATAAGTTGTGAACAAGATATTGTTGATGAAATGGATCATGAAGAAATTCTCCACAAGTTTGCAGCCAATAGCATTACATTAACAAAATATTTAATTTAATAATTAATTTTTAATATTACAATTTACAATGTTATACCTGTTTGTAATTTGACAAAGAATAATTTACAATCATACATAAATTACATATGATATCAATATATTAAAGTTTAATTGAATGTAATTTTATATATTGGGTGAAGATCATCACATAAAAAATGTTAAGACTATGTAAGGTATTTCCATATAGTTTTTTGTAGGTATACAATATTTGAAAATTCCAAGGCTCTTATGGCAAAAATAGTCATGAAGTAACATGATTGGTGGGTGGGTGGGTGGTTGTTTTTAAGGTTTCGCTACACCTATATTTTTAAGGATAGCCGCCACTGTGACACAAGCAATATAGTAAGTACTAGTAGGTACTAGAACACTAGGTACATATGAATATTAAATTGTGAAAAACTTAAATTTTCAATTTTGTAATAATTAGGTACCTACCTACTTATATCATTAATTTATTTTATAATATTTGTATTGTAGACTGCAGTGATACCGTCTATGCCCTGGCCAGGAATAGAAAAGTTTTTTGTTTGTAAAGGCAGTAAAGGAAATAATTTGCTAGTACATTGTGTATTATGCAAACCTTCAACTAAATTACATAGTGTATCAAAAACCACACCATCAAACCTTAAACGACACATAAAGGTATGTTAGAATAAAATCTATTGACTTTTTAGTTAAGAATATTAAATATTGATTGAAATGTTGCACTTGTACACACGGTAATATTTATTTTTATTTTTTTTTTTGGGGGGGGGGGGAAAGAGGCAAGAGTATCATTTTGCACACACAGACGACAGTCAGAAATAATAAATTTAATAGGTAACACAATTAATATAATGCAATTTAAGTAATAATCATTTTAAATCAAATTAAATACCAATTAAATAATTTATAAAAATTACAACAGGATTTTTTTTAATTTTCTGATTATACTATTATATTTTTCAAAATATAAAATGATAACTAGGCTTAGGGACTTATAGCTCTAAAAAATACACAAATATGCATGCAAATATGCTTCTAAAATCATTAAAATATGCATTTATAAGGCACTAAAATATGCATTTATATGCATTAAAAACAAATTTAAAAATTGAATTTTTTCAAATTTATTATTTATTTTTTCAATTGAAATTTACCTTAAGATTTTGCAAAATTAAACCGAGAATTAAAAGTAAAATAAAATAATTGAAAATAAATAGATAAAAACAAAATAAAATACAATAAAATATATAAATATTACAATATTTTTAAATGACATAACTTTGTTTGCTACTTAAATAAAACAGTTGTTTTATATAAAAAAAAAAATATGTTTTCTGTAAAAATTACATAATTAATTCTGCATCAATTTGAGTTTCTTGAAAATTACATTGTACGATTAAATACTTTTTTATGTTTTCGAATGTAAATCTCCGACGATTACTGGACAATACATATTTGTAAATTGAGAAACTCTGTTCAACGTCTACAGAAGTAATTGGAGCATAATTAAAGTATGCCAAATCATCATTTGTCATATCTTCAGGCAAACCTTCCAAATTTTCCACTTCACCACTTAATATTTTAAATTATAACGAGATATGAGAGGTTTTTTGGATATGAAATTTTATATGTATCTATAGTTTTTAATTTGAAATTTGAAAATTTTGTCAAAATATGCAAAATAAGCATAAAAATTTTAAAATATGCACTCTTCTGCAAAATCTATCAAATATGCAAAAATATGCACATTCAAATTTTAGATCTGATATCATGGCACCTATCATTGATAACCATATAGGTATGGACTGTAATTTTCTGCAATAACTATAAAAAAAAATAAGTAATAACAGTTGAGCAACAAACTGTTATTATTTTGTATTATATAGTATATTACTATCTACCTATTTGTAAATAATTTATCGTTATTATTTATGTTTAAAATAAATTAATACCTTATAATATACTAATTTATTAATTCTCCCATTTTGAATGGTTTTGACGTACCTATGGAGTCAATTTGATAAAAATTTTTATTTTTACTTATCATGCAGTAGTGGTGGTAAAATATTAGCAAGAAGTAAGAGGGAGTTGGAGGCAAGCCCCACACGGATTTTTAAATCATAATAAGCGAACGCACCTACCAAGTGCTGCTTAATATGTTTATATTAGATTAGATTTTTTATTTAATTGTCAAAACAACCATGCATTAATAAATGATATAATAATTATATTTATTATTTGATTTGTTTCAGAGAGTCCATCAATACAAAAACAATGATTTTGAAAATGCTTTAAATGATGGTAAACAAAATGTTGTTATTAAAAAACAGTGTTTTGGTTTGGAAACTGATCAAACCACAAAACCCTTGCATCAGTTAACGCTAGAACGTTGTGGATCTGGTAAAGAAAGTGTAACTCAGCACAAATTAAATGATTTGTTATTGAAATTCATTGTGAGTAATACTCAACCACTGAGTGTGGTTGATAAACCATCATTTGTAAATCTGGTTAGACTAGGTTTACCAAAAGATATAAAGGTTATGTCCAGTAAAAATTTAAAATTACAAATTGAAAAACTTTATTTATCCATGGTAGACAATATAACTGATACATTATCATCAGTTTTGTATGTATCTACAACAGCTGATTGTTGGACAAAAGGAAAAAAGAGCTATATCGGGGTCACATGCCACTGGATAAACTCCAAAAGTTTTAAAAGGGAATCTGTATCATTAGCATGCTGTCGTATCAAAGGTCACCATACTTATGATGTTATTGCTAAGGCATTATATAAAATCCATACAACATATAAAATTCAAAACAAAATTGTTTCAACAACCACTGACAATGGTTCAAACTTTGTCAAAGCATTTAATACTTATTCTAAAACCAATGATTCAGATTCTGATGAATCGGACAATGAAAATGAGAATGTTGACTTATTTGATATATTAAATTCAACATCTACCTTAGAACAAGAATCTGACACATTTATTCAGCTACCTCCTCACTATAGATGTGCAAGCCACACATTGGACCTTATCGCCAAATCAGATGTTGAAAAGATGATAATTACAAATTCTGATTTTAAAAAGTTTTATAGAAAAATGCTTGGAAAATGTTCAGCAATGTGGTCTAAGCAAAATATGTCTCCTTTAGTAGCTGAAAAAATACATGATACTTCAGGAGTTTATTTTAAAACACCAAATAAGACTAGGTGGAACTGCATGTATGATGCTTTACTACAATTAAAAAAAATATTAAATGCACAAAATGGATTAGACAAGATCAATCAGGTATTGGACTATTGTGAAATACAACGGTTCACACTGCAAGAAATTCAACTAATGAATGAGTATTGTGATGTTATGTCACCATTAGCTGATACCTTAGACTTTTTACAAGGGGAAGAAAGTATGTACATGGGCTTCTTACTGCCAAGTCTTTATGCATTGGAAAAAAAATTAAAAGCGATTGAAAACGAAAAGTTGGTTTATTGTAAACCTCTATTACAAACAATCATCGAATCAATTAAAAAAAGATTCGAACCAATTTGGAAGAAAAACGAATTAATATTAGCATCATGTTTAATACCAAGGTTCAAACTTATTTGGCGTGATAGATATAATCAGTGTTTAGCTGAGGGAAATTTGAAAACTTTGTTCTACAGTACAGAAACCGATGAAAATGATACCAATGATACTACCGACGAACAATTTGATAAAGCTCAAAATTTTTTTTGTCTTCCATTGAATAATCAACCAAAAAGTTCCTCTGCAGATGAGTTAAAAATGTACCTGAAAAGTCCATTGACAGAGATAACTATGTTATTATCTTATCCAGAAGTAATGAAAGTTTTTTTGGAGTACAATACACCAATGCCCTCAAGTGCTCCTGTTGAGAGATTGTTTTCTACTGGATCCAATATAATGACTGTTAAGCGTTACAGATTAGGTGATGAACTATTTGAGAAATTAGTTCTTCTAAAACAGAACAAAGTTACTATTTAGACTATAATAGGTACTTATAGTATAGTCTATTGTTAATTGTTATATAATTTTAGTATTTTATATTGTTTAAAAAATAATGAGTGAAATATAAAAATTTAAATGAATAAAAAAAAACTGCAGTATTAAAAAACAGTATTATTTTCATAAACTTAATAGTAAATTATAAATTTAATTGTAGGTATGTATAAGTATAATTAAAAATTAAAGTACCTAAATATATCTGTTAAAAAAAAAATTGATGATTAAATAAGAATTTTTATTTTATCTGGAACTAAAAAAGGAACTAGTTCTTTTTCCAAAGGAACCGCAAAGGAACGAATTCTTTTTTTTTAAAAAGGAACAAGGAACGGAACGAATTCCTTTTTATAAGGAACTTGACAAACACTGGCTACTACCCATATTATATCCATATTTATCCACATTCGGTTAATTGCTTCCAGATTACGCACGTGCAGTAAGAGCAGGTAAGGTAATGTAATTTCAGATATCGGCGTTTAGATAAAAGATAATTGCCAATTGCGATAAACTATAAACCGAGATATAATGGGTGGGAGAAAACAGTATCCATAGACCAGGGGTGTACATTTCTATAGCAAGCATAGATAATATAATAAACACCTAAATCGCAAACTCTGTATACCGGCTTGATAACATTTTGAAGCCGGCAGCCATTTGCAGGTGGGGCAAAAAGGATAGTGAATTATCGACAGCGATATCAGTATTATCGATTTTTATATCGATTCAATGTTTATTATCAAAGTTACATGTTAATTGTTTTTAACAGTTTGGCATTATTTTCTAATGATAATTCATTCTTTTGATTTGAATAAATATTTTAATAAAATGATTACTTGGTACAATTCCTCGTTTTGAATTGCCAATTCCTTACATGTTGACTTATAATATGAGCATCTTTTTAAAACGTAATTAAGATCCGACAATTTACTACTCCCGTTGGAAGTAACAGACAACGTAAATAAGTAATAACTGAAAATGTTTGATTTTAACTAAACTTTGCACCAGGTAATTTTTATTTTGACGTTTTATACTTGATGAAATGTTTTAAATGATTCCAAATTCTAAACATTATATTTTAGTATTCTGAATGTGTACAAAAGGACTTCAGGTGCCAAATCCTATACAATTTATCTTCGCTGTAAACAATTACAATGAAGATAAATTATTTGCTTGCATGAAGAATGCTATCGTTAACAAGACTTCAACTTAAAAGGAACTAAGCATCAAAATCTTATTACTATTAAGGAAATAGATTACCTAATCTATTTCCTTAATAGTAATAATAGTCAACACTAATGTAATTTAGTTAGTACTATAGTACTTAGTTAGATCAAAAATCAAAAATTATAATTCATCTTCTGAGGATGATAAATTTATGTTTAAAAAACTAACTTTTTTTTCAATAAAATCTATATTTTTATTAATTGTTGAATTGTATATGATCCAGCAATTTGGAGGATCGCCGTGTTTATCAACTCCAATCTTGCGGTCTCTTACACAACATCTAATCTAGAAAATTTAGAATAAGACATGATTTTAATTGTATTAAAAACAAAAATGCTTACACGCTTGTGAGTTTTTATATTACTAATATATTGTAATAAAATTACTAGGATGCAATACAATGTAATCAAAGTATATGATATACATTGGTAATCATCGATATTTCCCCAGAGTTCTTTTAATAAAATGAAAATATATTTGTGTTTAGGTATTTAGCATGGAAATGCATTTTTAGTTTTATATTTTTTTTAAATTTACTATTGTGACATTAACACTATTATCATTATTACTATTATCACTATTATTATTATTATTACTTTTCCACTCATGTTAGAGGTTATGTTTAATATTCGTAGTTGTTGTTGTTTTGTACGTACGTGGGACGCACGTCGTTCCGTACTTACTGAATTATTATGTATGTGTATTGAAGTTATTGAAAGTAATAAATTGTTGTAAACGAAAGTATTAGTTATTTCTTACATTATAAAAAAACAATTTGTTAATGATTTAAATTTGTGTGTAAAAATGTTTGTATTAAAAAATATTTTTTTTATTTAAATTATATTATTTAACAATAATACTTATTGTACCTATCTAATTTTTATATTTGGGATTTTTCTCATTTTGAAATTATTACAACATGTATACAGGCTGTATTGAGTATTATAAAAATTATAAAATCATATGTTAATTTATATTTTAATAAATTAAATGTATTTATCTCACCGTTGTTTTTTATTCATTCCTAACATCAAATATAGATGTGTCCCTCAGTAATAAAAAAAATATATATTAAGATACTCATAAAATGTCTTATACTTTGTTACACATATTATGTAGAGCATTCTGTATAATATACTTTAACTTTATATTATAAATTTGGTGATATGTGAAACTGGTTTAGTAATAAAGATAAGTGAACAACATAACTCTACAACAGACATAGGGATTTCATTTTATATTTAACTGTGCACGAGGTACGTATTGTCACCATTTTTTTCTCACAGCCTTAAATTATAATTAATAAAATTTAACATGTCTGTCACTTCTAACGAGAGTAGTAAGTTGTCGGATCTTAACTATGTTTTGAAAAGATATTTATATTATAAGTCAACCTGTAAGGAATTGGCAAATCAAAACGAGGAATTGTACCAGGTAATCATTTTATTAAAATAAATGTAAAATAAAAATAAATATTAAATAGCACAAAATATATTTTTTTCAGGAACTTCATACTACAAAAAAAAAATTAGAGCTTAAGACCTTGGAGTGTAATGACGCTTCAAGTTTACTTGAAGAAAAAAATAAAGAGCTTGATGACTTAGTATCTGAAATGGTAAATATGAATACAAATTTGAATCAATATAACAAATTATAATAAAATTATCTTAATATAGGACCAGTTAAAAAAAGATATGGTCAAGAAGGACAAATACATTGCTAAAATCAATAATGACAACGCAATATTCTCAGAAGAAATTATTCAATTAAAAACACAATTGGTAAGTCATAACATTTATTTTTACAAATATTATACAATATTTATATGTACTAAATTACAATCTTTATGTAATTGGGTTATTACCCGTAAATAAATAAATAATAATAATACCTAATGATCAGGGCCGTATTTAGGAATTTGACACCAGGGGGCAACAAAAAAAAAAACGCCCCATTACACAAAATACAAATTTAATGTAATTTAAAACGAATAGGTTTATTGTACAAACATTTATTTTTTATTATGTATATATATTGTATGTGTATATTATTAATACATTTAAATTTTTTTTCTGGATTGTGACTCGGCAAATTCTTTAATTATGTTATCATAATTGATGCTAGAAGTTAGTTCACTTTCAATATTTAGTACAGCTAAAGCATTTAAACGATCATTATTCATGACCGATCTAAGATATGTTTTTAATCTTCTCAGGGTTGAAAAAGATCTTTCTGAAGAACAATTCGTTGCTGGTGTACACAGAAACATTCTAACTTCTAAGTGCAATGTCCACATATGGATAGATTGTTTGTAAATCTTTGGATCGTATCAGTGTACTTAGGTCCCGGATATTTTTTGGAGCTTTATCTTTAAGAGACTTAATATGACTTTGGAAGTGTACACATTCATTACAAAAGCTTTTATCTAAGTCATCTTTGTATATTTTACATAAGTTTTCAGCACATTTATAAACTTCTGATTCCGATATTGTAGTTAGGTTAAAAAAAAAGGAATATTTTAATGTTATTGTATCATATGACTCTTTTCGTTTGAATAACTCTGTATGTATTTTATCTAAAATAACATAGTAAGTATTTATCAAAAAATGTTTTCTTCCACAATAATTAAGTTCATCTTGTGGTTCATCGTAGACAATTTTTCTTTTCCTCTTTCTTTGTACATCTAATTTATATTCTGTGTCACCTCCATGTAATTTAGAAGCTCGATCTTCATACATTTTTTCATTACGAAGATTAGAAATATATTTAATGAGCGATTCATACAATTCAACCACTAAATACAAGTCAATATCGATTGACTGTAACTTTTTACTCACAGCATTAAAACGTCCAAGAAGATCTTCCCAAAATATTGACATTAAATTGGTGATAACCGGGTTCAGAATTCCCAATCGACAAATCAGATAACATTCTTATTATACCTAATATTATGTTCATGAACCTCGACCGTTACCGAGTATGTGTGTGTTTGTGTGTATGTGTCGTGACGCCGTGATTGGCTATATTTTTTTTTTTGAGATACACTGTGTTTTGTAAAGAAGTTTCACTTCAAAGATTTTAAATAATTTGAATGATTTAATATTGAAAATATAAAAACATTAGCCGCCGGGCCGCCCCCCTCATATTCGGCCGCCCGGGGCAACAGTACCCTGTAGCTCCCCCCTAAATACGGCCCTGTTAATGATAATAACAAATAAAAAATCATGTATGTAAGACATACATTTTTTTGTTATACTTTTACTTAATATACATATAGGTAATTTAAAATATTATTTACATATTTAAAAATATTTATTCGAATCAAAAGAATGAATTATCATTAGAAAATAATGCGAAACTGTTGGCGTTGGATAAAATTAAAATAATTAAATATAAGTTAAGGTTAAGTTTAAAGTTATTTTTTTTTACTTGTAAAAGTTACTTCTAGTAAAGATTAACTTTGTATGTAACTTAATTAAAAGTAACCCAACTTTTTAACTTGTAAATGTCCTGCTTTGCATTTTTTTTTTTGGTGTTTGAGTAGTATTTTAAATAATTTTTAAAACACTGATCATAATATTACATATTTACATTTGTAATATGTATGGTTGTGTAAGTAAAAGTTACAACATAAATAAAGATAATGTTATGGTTCTTATATGATACTTAAATATTTTTTTTTTGTTGTAGAAACTCAAAGATAAATCTAATGATTATGAAAAAGCAGGAATTATTGTGAAGTGTGTGGAAAATCCCTTTGCTGTGGTTATTATAACTCCTATAATGCAAAGGGCTCATGAATTGTCTTTTTCAAAGGATATAGCTTTTGTTGATATTACATCTTCATGTGATGCCCAAGGTCATTCAGTGGCGTTTATGTTAACAGCGTGTGGTATAGGTGCGGTTCCTTTAGCCATTATGATTACAAAAAACCAATCTATTGTCGATTATACAGCAGCATTTAATCTTATTAAGAGATCTATTCCTAATGGTTTTGGAAACTAAGGTTTTCCATTACAATTTATAACTGATGATAGTGATGCAGAAAGGCAAGCACTGAAGTCTGTATTCCCTGAATCCAAATTATTATTATGTCGATTTCATGTTTTACAATCTGTTTGAAGATGGTTATGGGAAATGAACCACCAGGTACATAAAGATGATAGAAAAACATTGTATTTGTTATTTCGTGTCATTTCAGAAGCATCAACACATGAGTTAGCCATGGCTTCATTTAATAGTGCAATTGGGTTGACTTCTACTTCATCAAATGTTATAAATGGTAATAATATCCCATTAAAATATCCCAAATGGATTCAGTATGTTTCAAAATATTGGGATAGAAAAGAAATATGGTGTATGGCGTCCCGTAACGCTTCTACTCATGGACACCACACAAACAATTTTAGCGAAGTGAATGTAAGGTTATTTAAAGATATTGTACTATCTCGAAATAAGGCATATAATGCTGTAGCTTTGGTTGATTTTGTTTGTACAAGCATTGAAGAATATTATCAAAAACGTTTAAGAAATTTTGTAAATGGCAGTAATTATACAGCAAGGTATTTGTATGAGGATCAACTAAGCAAAGCATCACACATCCATAAAGAAGACATTGAAGAATTATCTGATAACGTCATATTGTTCAAAATTAAATCCGAAAATCAAAATTTATATAATGAGGTTGATGGCTCTGTTGGATTTTGTACGTGTCCTAAAGTTAAAATGGGTGGTTTTTGTAAACACCAAGCATCTGTGTATCACCATTTTTTACAAGCAATGCCAAATTTACCTCCAATAAGTGTTGATGCTCGTTATTCTCTAGCTAAATTAGCTTTCGGCTAAAATGTTGGACCTAAATCATTTTATATGCCACTGATTCCTGAATTAAGTAACAATCAATCACTAAATCAAGATAATGAAGAATTTCTAACAATTTAAAGTTCTAATGAGTCACTAAAAAGTAATGATATTCATCTTGCCAATGTCCCACAAAATGAAGAGATTGATGAATATGAAAACCAAATTTAATTATTAGTTTAAGGACTGTAAATTAAAAAAATATAATCGTGAAACATCTTCAGCTGTTCTACAAAAATGCATTGATAGGCTAAAAAAAGTAAAGTCTAGTAGAACCTGGGAGTCATTCTTAAGTACTGCTGTAAGCAATATATCATTGAGACACCGTACTCGTGGCACTATTCGGGTTCAGACAACAACTATAAGTCGTAGGAAACCTGGCATTACACGAGGTAGTAAACGGCTACCAGTTGGACGTCCGTTAAATAGTGACAAGCAAAAAAAAATTAAAAGAAAACCAAATTTGGGTGAAAATGTTAGGCTAAATGTTCCAAATTCCAAATCCCATAATTAATATTAGTTCTATTTAGTATTTAATGTAATTTATGATTTAGGAACCTAGGTTCCTTACCTTACTTGATAAAAAAATTGTTTAGCATACCTGTTGGAGATTGTAAACTTGAAATAATAATAATAAACTTAAATATTCATTCTTAATTTATATTTTACTTAAGTATACCATTTATTTAATTATTATTAATTATTTTTTTTATTAAAAAAATGTAACTGGTCATAATCTTTAAAAAGTTTTTATAGGTATAATTAAATAAGCAGGTAATATCTTAAATCTTAATCTTAAGAAAATAATAGTTATGCTTTTTTAAACTATTTTATTTGATATTAATTATTTTATTTTATTTTTTTTTTATTTATTCTCTAAAAATGTTTCAGCACACCAGGTGCTATTACAAATATATTATTTTATTTAATCCAAGTATATTTTGGAAGAAACTGTATTAAAAATATTGATTCTTTAAGTGATTTATATTTTCTAGTTTAGCACACACCAACTTGTTTGTGTTTTTTGGGAATAATATTTTATATAATTATTAATGTAATTTTCATTCAAAAGATTAGCACGCAGTAAACTGGGATTAATTTGAATAATATTAAAAGTAACCATATTAAAATTTAACTTGTCATGAAAGAAGAGTAGGTACCTATCTAAATTTTGTATTAAATAGCGATTAGCGAAGTATGATTATTATGCTAATGCTAATGAACACAAGTATTATCAGACAACACAATATTCTATGCTAGTTGCAATATATTATATTACTATGTATCTACATAGTACATAGTAAAAATAGGTTAAAAATAATAATTGTGAATTGTTTAGTGATAACTACTTGATAAACGATAGTACAACTTCTAGGTTTAAAATTATAACACCAATTTCCAATTATTATTAAGCTGATTGCAACGGTAATAACTAATAACTAATAACTAATTTTACCTATTATATGATTAAAGGTAATACAATATTATGTAAGAATGCAAAACACTGGTTGTTTTTGTTTAATATATAGTGTTTCTTTATTCTTGCATTTTGAAAAGAATTATCATTTTTATTCAATTGTTTTACAATATATTCTTTTCGTTTACATATGCTCTGTTGAGCTACAGATATTTTTATTTTAGTTCAAAATAATTAATTTATTCAGTTTTGTTTTACAGTATTTTCTTTTAAAGTACATAATATGCTCTGTCGAGCTACAGATATGGTTTTTTAAATGTGTAATGATAAATTGCAATATTTAAAGACTCACGTGGACCGTGAAAGTAAGAGAACAAATACGGAGATGTTGTGTCCAATGGCAGCCTACTCTGCTGGTGGTGCTGGACGACAACAATACAAAGTGTTACCGGGCGGTGGCTTGACTCGTCCTCGGGGTACAGGTACTGAACTCTCCTTGTCGACTAGTTCCAACGTTGTCGAAGATATTATTTTGATAATGGCGCTCGTCGTGGCGAAAATAGTAACACGCGGACGATAATATGAGTCTACCGGTCGCGGCGGCGCGCTCGTCGTGGCGGCGGCAACGGGGACGGACAACGACCACTGCAACTGGGCACCGGTGGCTTGAACAGTACGTTCTTAGGCGTACCACCACCGATACCTAGCGAGAGTGTTGTGGGGATCTTCCCCTCCGTCTACTGTTAAGGGTGAGTGGCTTGAACAGTACGTTTTGAGGCGTACCACCACTCACACTGTGAGTATAGGGAGAGGGCTTTGCGGGAGAAGGCGGTTTTAAGTTACACACTATTTAATGAAAGGCGGTAAGTTGAAACATGTGAGGAAAACGGCGTGTTAAATATTGACGGTTTCTTGAATGTCGAATGTCGATGGTTTACGATGAATTCATAGGCCGTGCTGGCTTATATTTCTGCCATGTTTGCACTACGGGTGGTGTGCTGTATGGACGGAAGTAGGTAGTTGCTTCCATCATGTTTATGTATGTTGTAGACCCTCTACCCCGTGGGCGGCTATATGTATTTAGTGCGCATTCTTCTGGGGAAGACGATGGTCATAATAGTTTTACGGGCTGTCGTGGTTGTTTTCCGTAAAGTCACTGGAAGTGTTGACGGTCGGAAAACCTGTGTGACGGCGCGCACTCTATGCGGCGTCATTGCGTTATTGGTTTTCTGAGTTCAAGTCGTGTTTTTTTTCTTAATGCAACTTCTTTGATACTTCGTGATATGTTTGTTGTATTAAGGACGTTGTGCAGCTTTAACTTGTATTGTTCACCGTACTTAAATAAGTCGTCAAAGTGAAAAGTTTGTAGCATGAATAGGGTATTCCTGTCGGGGCGGCGGCGCGCGTTAATAGTTTTGGTTCGCGCGTTGGCGCGTACATAGATGGCGAAACATATTTCGTTATAATTAATTATAATGGCAATTCTGCATCGTTACAATTATTAATATGATCTCATGAATTCAGTTGTGTTATTAATTAATGTTGCAAGTAAGTATTGATAATTTTAACTTGAATACCTAATGTCCTTATAAAATAACAATATTATATAATCATTATGCACTACCTTTAAGAAGTTTTTATAGAAATAATTAAATACAACTATAACAGAACTAACTACTTTCTAACTTAGAAATAGGATAATAATAATATACTGGGTGATTCTTTTATCAAACAACACTCATTATTTCAACAAGTGTAAATTTTTTTGAAGATATTTTTTTACATAGTTTCAAGTCGCTTATAAAACAACGTTTTTATTAATAAACTATATTTTTAATTATTTTTTATCCTTATAATTTTTTAAGTTTTTTACTTTTTTGAATGACAACAAAGGGTTTTAATTTTATATTCTAAAGTAGAATATTTTTCTTAGTATTTTGATACATGCAAATTGAATTTGGGGCGAGTAGTTTATGAGTTATAAGTATTTAAAGTATAGACGAGCGGTGAAGTGGACAAACATTTCGCGGGGTAACCCCGAACCACTCCACTCCGCTCGTCTAAACTTTAAATACTTATAACTCATAAACTACTCAACCCAAATTCGATTTTCATGTATCAAAATACTAAGAAAAATATTCTGCTTTGGAATATAAAATTAAAACCCTATGTTGTTATTCAAAAAAGTAAAAAACTTAAAAAATTATAAGGATAAAAAATATTTAAAAATATAATTTTTTTAATAAAAACGTTGTTTTATAAGCGACTTGAAACTATGTAAAAAAATATTTTCAAAAAAATTTACACTTTTGAAATAATGAGTGTTGTTTGATAAAATAATCACCCAGTATAATAGTGTATTACAATATTTTATATATTTTATGCGTGATAACATAAAATTATGAAATTCGTGCGGAAATTCAAACGGGCCAATCAGAAGTCTCAATTGGTTTATAGGTGCCGAGACCGTCCACAGAATGCTAATATGCCATGGACAATTGTACGTTTTATACGATTTTTTCGTTATTTTTAATGAAACTTTATTTTTTTATTTATCAGGGAAATATAATTTTTTTTTTGAATTTTTTTTTCATGTTATTTCCTATATGCGTATTAATTATATTAGACAGGTAAAAAAAATATTTATTAAATTTTTTTTTTTTACAATCCAAAGTTATTTGGAAATATTTTAAATTTTAAGATTTTTATTTTTTTCTGAAGCGTGTAAATAAAAATTACTCAATTTTACCCAAAATCTGATATGTACATAAAATAAAGAATATTCCCAGGATTTTGAAAATGTTATTTTTTTTTGCGTCCATAGGGAGTTATAGCGTACAGAAATTATTTCTGTAAGGTTTATCGTAATATTTGCAACAAAACATGAATTGTGTAGGAAATTTATGAACTTTGGTATTTGAATTGAGTATTTTTATGTCATAAACAGATAAGATCATTTTATGATTACCTACCAATTAAATTATATTGATAATATACATTTGAACGTCTTGTCTTTAGTCATTGTGTAGACTGCAGTAGAAACGACAGTATTTTTAGTAAAATATTACTTGCCTATTAAATTAAGTAATTTGTATAGTATAATATAAAATATAAGCTATATTTGATATAATGGATAGTCAATTTGAAGGTAAGAGAATATCTACATATACTTTTAATATTTGTTGGTATATATGATTAAGCTAAGTCGGTTTTTATACGTATTTTCAGTTGATCTCGTAACTAACAATAAGCGTAAAAAATGTATTTTGAATCGTGAACTGTATGAAGTTGTGCGTAATAAATGTTCTATGCAATCTGTGACAACTGTTAGTACAAGACAATTATTGTTTATTTTTATTCAAAATAAATTCAATGGTTTGAAGTGGAACAGTGTTCATATTAAAACAATAGAAAGTGCAATATTAAATTTTTCTTTAGCATTATCAAAAAAATGGACAAAAGCTTGCCGGAATAATAATAAATTTAATAAAATTCATACTGAATGGCTTGATTCATACTTCAAAATACCTAACCAAAATAATAATAATGTTTCAACGTCGTTAAACAT